AAAAAAAAAAAAAAAAAAAAAATCAGCAACAAGAGGGACATCTGCAGACGGGAAAGGCCGGTACGCAGGCATCTAAGTCAGTCAGTTCTGCCTCCTCCAGGCTTGTCATCCCGACAGTGCCCAGGAAGAGCTACCAGAAGTATCTGAGTGGTTACGCAGCTCCTCAGGGTCAGCTCACAGTTCTTATGTCCTCTCTGGTCCTAGAAAGCCCAACTGGCATCGTCAGCCTCCTGGGGCTTCAGTACTATCGACGTGGGTGTCTGCATCAGAGAAGGGACAAAGCTCTTGGGTTCTCTAATTCCCAGGTGGGTGCAGCTGACATATGGGAACATAAAGTTAATGGTACAGCGCCAGGATGATATATTATATCTTGGTTTAGTATAGGACAACCTGGTCCTCCCTAGGGGACCAAGGGGTTAAAGGGCAGCACCATGAGCCATCCCCAGCCACTGTAGTATGAGTCTGACCCCAGCCAGGGAGCTACTCACATGGCATGGCAGACCCCACTCTTTCCCTCAGCAGTGTATTTCTATTCTGCTCCCCACTCTGTCTCTGGCGAATCCTCTCACCCCACATACCTCTGGCCTATACCCCAGTTCTTGTATGTATAAATAAATATTTAAGAAAAAAAGGATAACGTCCTGAAGCAAATGACTTACAAAGGAACTGTAGCCAATATGACTGAGCTGAAAATTTTAATTTTTATAAAGCAAACATTAAATAGGATTCAAAAAAAAACCCTTGCATTCAAAGACATCACAAAAAACGAAGAAAAAATAACACATCTCCAAAACTTCAAGTGGTCAGAAGTAGAAAACACACTGCAGAGAATATACACACACACAAAATGTTCACTGTTCTTTGTAAATGAAGAAATAAAAAGTTATAGCAAAGGTGAGGTATCTTTTTAAATGCTGGCAAGACTATTGCAAAACTGGTACAGCAGCTTTACAGCCTGTGGGAAAACTACAGGACAGCCCAATCCCAAGAACCATAAAAATGTTGGCTCCTTTGCCCCAGAAACTCTTACCTGAGATTCCTATTAAAGAAATCCAATAAATTTAAACAGGCAAATTACACAAGCAGAGGCATTTACTGCAGTGTTATCTCTACTGATGGAGAACTAGAAGCAACTCAACTGTACTCCAAAAGAATGGTTTGGCAATTTTATGGTACGACTATTTCACTATATGTAGTCACGAAAGTAACTCATTGCAAAATGATGTAGCAACAAGAGTCAAGTTTTTGGATATCAAAACAAAAAACTAGCATGTACATCTTGAAAAGAACGCACATGTAAACAAAGAGGAAAGAGAATACTCATGGAAATAGCTGTGGTGAAGCAACTCTAGCTTATGGATGATTTATACTACATCACGGGAAAGGGCAATTTGGGAGCCCTCCCTGGCGGCACAGTGGGTTAAAGTGCAGCACCAGTTTGATCCCTGCCCAGGGAGGTGACCCACATGGCACAGCAGACCTCTCCTGTCTCACCCTGCTCCCCTCAGCAGTGTACTTTGCCAATTTGTATGTTCTGCTCCCCACTCTGTTTCTGGTGAATCCTCTCACTTCTGACACCTCTGGCCTATACCCCAGTTCTGTATGCATAAATAAACAAACCTTTAAAACAAAACATAGAAAGCAATTTGGCAATTTTTCCCAAAACGTAAAATATGCATCCGAGAAGTATCATTTCTAGTAGTCTGTTCTACATAAACACTAGTATGTTTATGTAGCAAGTATGTGTATGTAGTACTGTGACAGAGTACTATCTAATCCTCAAAAAGATGAAGATCTGAATACTAACATGGAAAATAGTATGACGTGTTCTCCCTGGTGGCGCAACAGGTTAAAGCACAGCACTATGAAGGGGTCTGCTGCCACTGTAGCATGACTCCCCCGGGCCAGGGAGCTGACCCACAAGGGGCAGCAGACCTCTCCTGACCCTCTGGCTGCTCCCCTCAGTGTATTTCAGTCAATCTGCCTATTCTGTTCTCTACTCTGTCTCTGGTGAATCCTTTTAACCCCTGTACCTGTGGCCTATACCCGTGCTTGTCTTAAATAACTTAAAAAAAAAAGTTTGATATTTCTGAGAAGAGCAAGTCGCAAAATGAAATATCTGTAAACACGGCCAATCGTGAACTTTGTGCGTATAAACATGTAAGCACCAGTTTCATGTAATACATGCATGCATACATACATGTAATACATACCTGTGCTTACACACCAATAAATCTGGAGACACTGGACTGCCAATAGGTGCTACCATGGGCGAGTGAGATAGGAATTGCAAGCGATTTCTAAATTACATACTTTATTCATAAATTTGTTAAAATGTACATCTAAATATATATTGCTTTTATGAGAATATAAATACAAATTAACATGGTACAGGTTGCAGTGTGCTACCATTTGTGTAAAGAAAAAAGGTGATAGTCATACCTGTATTAATACACAAGAAATTAATGGTTGCTGCAAAAAAACTGAGGCTGGGATCAGAGTTCGGTGGACGATTTATTTTTCAACTAGGTCATGTCATAACGTTTTTTGCTGTGCACAAGTATTATATTTAGCAAAAAAAATTTATAGCTTAAAAAGTGATGTGAAAGGTGAAGTTACATTGTCTGAAGACATAATTTTGTGGTGTAATAATAAACTGAAAAAGCAGGGGCCAAAACAGAATTTTCAGCATGAGTTAACTAAAGCAAACAATGAAGAGAAAACGATTAGACTATGCCTAATTATAACCGGTTGTCCCTAGACGACGCCAGTTTCTTTTATCCTTTCAATTTTTCTTCGAGGCTTGAACATTTTTAAGATTTTCGAAAAGGTAATAATATGCACACGACTTAAATTTAAGGTCTTTTCCATTTTTTTTTTTTTGGTAACAAATGGGAGAATTAAAAGCTTGAGAAGACCAACCTGTAAAGGCGGAGACCCCACCGCGCCAGCCAGGCAGGCGAGGGGCGAGGGGCGAGGGGCTGGCGAAGGTGTGGCCGGGTCTGACTAAAGGCGCCGAGCCCAGCCGCTCGAGGGGACGACAGGGACTAAGGGCGGCAGCCCAGCTTCCAGGGTTCAAATCCATCTCCGCCATTTCCCGAGCCCGGCGCCCCGCTTCACCCGGCTTTACATTCCATGAAAAGGGGCAGTGGCGGGCCCGCCTCACCGGGCTTGGCGAGGAGGAACGCCGGGCGGTAGGGCGCGGAGCCGTGCTGTCGTTATTGCCGCTACCGAGCTAAAGGCCCTAGACGCTGGGATGCCTGGACACCCCATCTGCTCGCCCACTCCGCGACTCCCGGGACCACGCCCGAGCTCCTGCTTCCGGTCAAGGGGCGGCGGGATCCCGTGGCTCCGCCTCGGGTTCTCTGGAGTCCGGGTCCCCTTGGGTCCGGGTCCCGAGACCCGCACAGCCTGCGTTCCGCCCGGTCATCTCGGGCCTGGCCCCACCCATCCCCGCAAATTCCCACCCCAGCGCTGTGACGCCCCTGGAGAGTATAAGACCAAGCCCAGGGTGGTGGGCGGCCATTCTCGGCTGACCGCTTAAGAACTCCGGGCGGACACTCACCATCTTGGACCCAACAGAGAGCTTCGCGTCGCCACCAGCCGGCCCAGTCAGGCTACTTTTCCGCGCCTGCGCAAAGGACACTGTCAAAACGGACAGCTCCCGTAGCCTATCAGGAGCCAGCTGCGTCGTGCGGGCAGGCGGACCTAAGCTTTCCCAGGGTTGGGAGGAAATTTACGTAATTCTGTCCGAGTAAAAAGCTGAGGAACGCCTCGACTGTGGAAAACGCCCAACCCCGGTTGTGTGGAAAAGACGCTAGTTAGCAGTCGGAAGGGATTTTCAACTATTGGACTAGTCCAAGCTGATTCTGAAAGTCCTGGGTGGAGCGTGATGAGGAGCATGAAGGCGAGGAAGGAGCTCGTTGAGCCCTCCTTGACGCCCAGAGTGAGGCAAAGTGAGGCTCACAGTCCAAAGGCACCCAGGACAAGACCGTTTGGAAGCTGGGGTGGGAGGTATCTGGCGTCCGTGGGGTCCCCAGTGCTACCCCCTCGACGACTCGTAGCTCAGTCATCCTGCATGAGCTTGGAGAAGCCACTTCACATCCTTCTGCTCCGCCAGTCTGTTCACTCTTAAAAGGGGACCGTTCTTGTCAGATCCGGATGTTGTTCTGCTCTATGTAACCTTCTAATCACGCGAACCAAAACATTTTCTAGGTTCTCTGGCGGGAAGTTAGGTGTTCAAATGCCCTGCCATATAGTGAAATTTGTTTGGGTTGCATGGCTACCTCCAGCAGCCTCCGCATTCCTTTGCAAATGCTATTTCTTCCAGGTATTAGACCTTGCTGAATTCCACACAGGTCTTAACTCCAAATTTTCATACACTACAGTTTCTTTAATCTGGGGAAGATTTGGTGCTACTCTTCTGGAGGTGTCTTCAAGTTACGTTGCATAGATACTGACTTCATGAGGAAACCTAGCAGGCACCGGCAGTGGGAAGTGTGTGCCGTCTAAGACGACCTAAGGGCACATCATCACCTCTGTAGTTTTTTTTTTTTTACTACACAACCTTAGCTATGAGAAAACATTAAACCAAATTTGTGGCAGGTCTACTAGGTACTTGGTCAATATTCTTTTTTAAAAAAGATTTATTTATGCATACAGAACTGGGTACGGGCCAGAGGTGGGGGGTGGGGAGGGGTGTGTGAGAGAATTCACCAGACTGAGTGGGGAGCAGAACAGAGTGAGGAGCATATCTACCGAAATAACACTGCTGAGGGGTGCAGCGGGCGGATCAGGAGAGGTCTGCCGCGCCATGTGGGTCACCTTCCTGGCTGGGCATCAAACTCGTGCTGTAGTGGTTGCAGATAGCTTCATAGTGCTGCGATTTAACCCATGGTGCCACCAGGGAGGGCCCGGTCAATTCTTTAAAATAACTGAAACAAGGTTTACTATATGGCAATGCATTCTAACTTCCTGCCGCCAGAGAACCCAGAAAATTTCCTGGTTCGTGGGAGTGTAAGGTTAGAGATCTGGCAAGAAGGGCCCCCTTTTAAAGCGCAAGGTCAGAGGAAAGGAAGGAACTGCTCCAGTTGAGGTGATCAGGAAAAAAAAAACCTACCGGCGGGAAAACTAGTGAAATCTGAATAAGGTCTGCGATTTAGTGTTATTTTACCAGTAGTAACTAGTTATTTGGTAAATTGGATCGTAGGATTAACAGTGAGAGGCAACCTCCTAGCCAGTGGGTGGCGCTGATAGCCAACTTTATGGCAGAAGGTGGAGCTTTCGAGACTCCACCCGCAGTGGCGCCTGCTGAAAGGAGCAGTGCTGAGGCTTTTTGGCCAGTTAAACAATGGTAAAGAGGGAGTGTCCGTGAAGAATCTGCTAATTTGCCACGTAAGGCTTTGCTTGGAAGGTCAGTCTCTGCTCAGTGAACACTTTCTGGGGTAGGACAACATCTGGACCTGGGCCAGAAAGTAAACACGCTTTTAGCACTCCTTTTCCTCACCCGCTACTCACATTTACGCTTTTGATTGGGACCTGTAGTCCTAAGTGGTGCGATCTGCCAGTTGGGTTAACTCTAGTCCATGGTTCCGTTTGAGACTGATGGGTGTGCAGGAACTCTGTACTATCTTTGCAATAGCTTTTCACCTCTAAAAGTATTTCAAAGCCGAATAAAAAAAAGAAAGAAAAAAAAAGACTGGATACGAAGACATTGACTACTGAATGTGAAATACCAAGAAAGCATTTAGCAAAGGGAAGCAGGGCTGTAGCAACTGAACCTGGAAGCGTCCTGGAAGACAGGCACTCAAGGACTTACATTATATATCTGGAGACCAGGCTGGCGCTGTGAGGTGGGGAAACAGGGTTTAACAAGGACAATGACGGAAGCAAAACAGAGTGTCCAAATAATGTGACAGCAAACCAGATGGATGATGGTGTAGTTGGAGATGGGCCCTTATACAGCCCTGAGTGACAGTCTTAGGAGTTTTAGAATTTATTTTATGGTAATGGAAGAATCATTTTAAGCAGCAAAGAAGAATCAGACTGAAGTCTTCCATAGATAATTCTATGGCAGCTGAGATGGACTGGATCAGGAGCCGAGAGAAAGGAAGTAAATGACAAGAAGCTGCCAACATTCCTGTTAGGAATGAAGGATTTAGTTATGCTGACGGGATAGCTCTGGTAGTAGTAATTCAATGAAGTTTTGGAGATAGATTTGACAGTATTGGTAGACTAATTAGATGAAACAGTGAACTGATTATGAAGATACCCAGAGTTGTGAGCAGCAGTATAGCAAAATCTTAAGCGGTGCAGTCAGACAGTCCTATTCCAGTTTCCACTGCTGCCACTCAATAGCTCTGGACACTTCAAGTCACTCAATCTTTTCTTAGAAAAGAGATACTCATCCTCTGAGAGTGTCCATACTAGAGTGTATGTAGTATATCAAGCAGTCTTTGGGGCACTATAATAAATGTTGATATTTGTCCTAGACTATGTGAATATGGGTGTAGTATTGGTTGTTAGAATAGGAAAGACAAGTATTAGAGCAGATCTGAATTAGAAATGAAGAAAATAACAGCATAGGTGTTTTCAGGTATATGAAAGTATAACTGTAAATTTTCAAGGTCCTTCCCTTTGAACAAACCCTTCTGCCCACATCTTTGCTTAATGAGTTCTGTTCAGTCCTTTTGAGGTTCCCAGTGAAGACTCTTCCTTGTCAACCAAGAAGACTCTCCTGAATCCTTCCCTGAAAATGTCCTTAACCATAAATAGGAGCCCTATAGACACATAAGAACTGACAACGGAAATGGGCCATAGTGACAGACACCAGTTTCTGCTCTGCAGTTGCACAATGTGGGACATTTCCCTTAAAATCCAGAGAACAGAAATCAGTCAACCACAACTGAGTCCTGCTTTGATGGTGTGAGGGGTTGGGGCTGGAGAGCCAAATGGTCAGTAAGAATTAGTTTTCAGATTTCCTAAAGCTTAGGGGCCAACACTTTCCCCGTATCTGCGTGAGTGTGTATACCTTTTTTTTAAGCAACACTGAGGTTAGAGCTTTCTAACTATGTCCAATTAAACAGTCTAGGACCCAGGAGGGTCCTGCAGTTTCTGTCTTCATCTCTTAGATCAGCATACAAAAAAAAAAAAAATCCAACTTAATTAGCCTCTCCCAGCACTGGTTCTGTTTTAAAGGAGAGCATGGTCATCTGGCTTTGTGAAAACAGTCTTTATAACTAGGTAGTGGTTCTTACTACACAGCTCAGATGGCTGGGGTCCTGTCTTACACAGCTGTAGTTGTCTTCAGTTTTCTTCAACATAGACAACAAACAGAACCTCACCACAGTTGAGTCTCTTTTTCCTACCCATCCACAGTACAGACAGGTTGTAACTTCCCTACTTACAAAAACAAAGACAAAAATATATACAACCCAGTCATTTCAAAAGGCTTCTCTTGTAGGTGGAGAAAACCTTCTTACTCAAAACTAACAGAAAAGTGTGCAAATGAAGGACCAAAGAAGTTTAATTATCAACAGTCTTACATCTTTTACGGAAATTCAAGTGAGGCAGTCCCCAAAGGACCTTTGTAAGAGCACTTGACTCCCTGTGATATCTGTAGAGTTACCTGAGTATTTGAAATTACAGTTCAAGAAAACAAAGGAACTCTGATACAGTAATATACAATCCAGTGCTGCCATTCCCTGTTTTTAGTTAATGAAAGCATAGCAGATATACAAATACTTCTGTAAATACCTCTAAAAGGAAAAACAAAAATTGAGGGGAGGGGGGCTGGAGATACCAACAATACTAAATAGAAGTAGTTGGAGAAGTCTAATTCCATGAGTCATATCTGATAACATTTCAGATTATAACCAGATAAATAGAAAGTGGCAGCGTGGGTTGATTGAAAAAGTTCATTTAGGATCTTTGTGGGCAGGTAGTCATGTTTCACTAAAATTTCTGATGAACTGAAATTGGTTGTCAATCTCTTGATGAAAAATTAATACCTGGATTTTAAATAGAGTTATTGTAAGTCTTACGAAATTAGATTCTTCTGCAATCAGATACAAGATCATAAAAGACAGGACTTAATTATTATGAGTTGCTGGATCAGTTTTAAAGCAATCTATATGATGAAATAAATGCAGTCCTTCTCTCCTGACCAAGGCTGTGAAATGCTGCTTTCCCCAACCTCCCAAAAGAGCAGAAGAATAAGGCAATTGCTCATTTTACTTTGTTTTTATTTCAACATAACATGCAGTAAAAAAATTAACAGGACTTATTAGCATTTACAATGCTTACAAAGAAAAAGGACTCTAAAAGCAATTTAGTTCAGATTTAAGAAATTCTTCTAATTAAACACTTACAATAAATCTATTTCCAAATGTTCAATTTGGAACAAAATTTAAGATAGCATTTGGTAGTTATTTATGTCTGCTGTCTAGTTGCAGTTATTTTTATATAACCTCTGATTCTTGGGATATCCAGCCCCCATTTTCCTAACACAGCAGGGAAGACATATACATGTGGCCACTTAAATTAAAGGAAGAAATGGAGTAAAGGAGATCCCAGGCTGCAAAAATATATACAAGCATTTACCTTTTCCAGAACTAAATGTTTCTTCCATAAAAATATTAAGCAGCCAAG